GGAGGAGGAGGAGGAGGAAACACACACACACACACACACATCCCGCATGCAAATCTCCCTTTGCCATGGTATACAGCACCACTCCCGAACTTACCGCAATCCAACATTGGAATCGGCGAGTTCGGTAGTTGTCCCTTTTGCTGTAAAAAGTGAGTAAAGTTACGATGTTGTTAAAGTAGTGCTATGAATTGGGTGACTAAGTGGCGGTATAAGCAAGGCAAAGGAATGGGTTTTATATTTACATTTGCCGTGAAGGTCTGAACAGTATACGTCAGATGCATTGAGGCACTGATATAGGAAATATAATATAATGCCGTTTCGGAGGCAAATTATGGTGTCAATATGCAGTATTCGAACTAGATCCTGCCTTCCCCTGGTTAACAGTAATTTAGATGGACTCTGAGGGCCTGGTAATCAATTACTGGACAATATGATAACACATTGACCAAAATGTCCTCCGCGGAAAGCATAACGCTCTGCCCCCAACAACTTATGGCGGGTGTGTAAAATCGAGAAGCGTCGACTCGGAACTTGAGGAAATGCGGCCATTAAAAACCATTGATAGATATGAAATGATTTACTGTACTAACAACACATGTATTAGCCAAAAGTCCAGACACGCGTGTTTCGCCGATCTTATGCCGCTGCCTGACGCATCTGCGAGGGGTTCGGCTAGTCACTGGGTCCCCCAGCTTTCACTGTGTTTTTTGTGGTATATGAACTCCAGTTTCAACTTGCCTTGATTAATTTCCGAGGAAACTAATGCGCGAACATGCAGTAAATTTTTCGAAACAGACATTTTCAGTCAGGGTTTGAAGTTTGATAGGCGAAACACGCATGTCTGGGCTTTTAGCTAATATCTGTGTCGTTAGTACGGTAAATCATTGCACAATCCTATACTACTGGTTGCCTGTTGGCGGTTTGTGAATATTAGGTGGTTATTCCGCAGTAGCTGATGGATTTCAGCTCAAATGTTCATATCAAACTTCGAACCGTGCCTGAAAAGGTCTGTTTCGAAAAATTTACTCCAAGTTCGGAAATTAATAAAGACAAATTGGTTGCTGGCCTGTATTCAAATAGCCTTTTGCTGGTTTTAGTTATGAATAAATTTCTTCTGGTGTTCTATACTTGCATCCACCATTTGCAGACTTTAATACGAATTAAGCTAATTTTGTAAACATTTTGATGACATATGCAGGGATAATGGGATTGCCTGGTTTCATTTCCTGCCTTCCCGTCGATACTTCATGGACCCTCTTCTTTCGACTTCCTATACTTATGTGAAAACAACCGAGTTAGTTGAAGATTGAATATCATTACGTGACTGGAAGATGACCTAGGTGGGCTTAATGCAGTGATGCGTGCGCTGTCCAATTACGAACTAACTCGGCTTCAAGTATAATCCTTTGTTGGGACATAGCCACTGTATATTCCCGATCGAAAACCGACAGGGCAACGGGCTCGTCGCCCAATGGTTAGAGACGTGGACTTCTAACTAACAGGTCGCGAGTTCGAGCCTCGGGTGTTCCACACTTCGGGGTTGGGTATGACTGGCTGATGACGGGTAATACGCTAGAAATGGCCATTCCATTCTCCCTTGTCTTTGTCGGCAATGCCATTCTGCATAAGCAGTTGATGACAAGTACAAATCTGCTATAGCTATTTCAGAGTTCTTTAGTAGTTGAAACCCCCTGAGTGTGAGTCTATTGCGGCGACGACATCACCTTGAAGTGTGGATAGCGTATCGCCTTGTGAATATTTTTCCCCCTTCCTGATCGCAAGTTCAAAAGCAAATCTTAAAGATAACAATGACCATTTTGCTAAACTTCCAGCTTAGAAAGCCCACCTCTGCGATGTGACCACAGAGGGGACTGAGCATCTCTAGGCGCTCAAATTAACTGTGCCACACGAGAGGCATCGCATTTTTCAAAATTCCACGAATAACCTGAATGTGAACCTTGTTGACTCCTTGGAAGATTGTTCACATGCCTGAGATATGGGCGACTGCTCTTCTAGCCTAAAGGCACCCTGAAAACACTGAGGCAATGTGGCCACAAACGAATAAGAATATAGATAACTAATTACAGTTTGATTCTGGTACATTTGAGTATGAGAGGGAAAAAGAAAAGTCCATCACCAGCCGTTCGTTTTTATCAACCAGATTGCTTCTTTCTTACGCGCCCGAGGGAGCAAAGAGAAGCGAGTGAGAGACAACTGTACTCATGAACTCTCTTCCTCCAGTTCCCTCCTCTTGCATGAAAACGACCGATTTAGTTGAGGTATGGAGATCGTGACGTGGCTGGAAAGTTGGTTAAGTCCGTCAGTGCAGTATTTAGAGCGCTGTCCAATAATGAACCAACTCGGCTTTACACTTCAGGGGTATACCCTTGGGTTGGGATATCAGTACCTGCTGAGGACAATTCAGCTATGGGTATTTCCGTGTTCTTAAGTAGTTAGCACCCCTAGGCGTGGGTCTACTGGGACGATCAAAGTATTGAATCTGCCGACACCACCTTAAAATTTGAAGAGCGTTTTGTTTTGCTCATATTTTGCCCGTCTCCTGAGCAAAAATGCAAGAGCACATATTTTAGACAACAATGACCATTTGCTTAAATTCCAACTTAAATGCTGAACACCTGCAATTTGGCCACAGAGAAGGCTGAGCTCAAATTGACTGCATCACTCCTGAGACATTCTATCCCTTTAAGCTCCACTTCCAGCCTTGATATGGGCCTCGACCACTACTTGGAAGATTGTTTAAATGCCTGAGATATCCGTAGATACTACAGTTCCCCTGAAAACACGAAGCCAATGTGACATACAACTGAATGGAAATAATTACAGTTTGGGGCTAGTAGATTTAGGTAGGATACGGAAAAATATAACTCCATCACCATTCGTTTTTATCAACTGAGTAAGCATACACCTGTCCCTCTATAGAGTCAGAGTACTTCTTTCTTACTCGATCCCCGAGACAAAGCGAAGCTAGCGAGACAACTGGTCCCTGTTTCTCCTGCATGCACCGTTTTGATCCTGCTGCTTCTTATTTTTCACGAATTTCTTAAGGCAGGCCGCTAAACTTGTAGGGAAAATTTAAGTGCGTCTTTTTTGAAAGACGCACGTAAGAATTTTCCGGAATTTAGAAACTGCTCACTAATTTTGGAAGGACTTAGTAACTCTACGTTTTGTACCTCAGCAGTTTATTCTCTTTTTAGCGAGCGTTCGTGAAGGAGAAAGGTCACGTAAGTTCTGCTCATCTAAATATTTTCTCGTTTTGTAAAGCTGGATGAAGCATCCTTGTTTGCATATAAATATGCCAAGAGTCATAATTACAAAATTCCGTTTTTGTTGAGGTGACATGCCCCGATCTGTCATAACTGCGGAATATGAATGAGGATGGCGGGTACTTCTCCCTCATTATCTCAGAAACTGCAAGGATACGGCTTCTAAACTCCCTACCGACACGCCTACGATAAGTTCTCCGACAAATTGGTCTGAACATGAAGAAAAGGAAACGGATAAACACAATATTATGTGTTAATAGAAAAGGTAAAGCTCAGGACAGCTATGCGTGCGCTCAGCAGCGTGGCAAGGCAGGAAGTGACGCCCATGGGCGCCTGCAGGGGCGACCACGCCATGCAAGCACACCGTGCTATCGATAAAAATCAATATCAATATCAGCGTACGCCCACTCATGCACGCCCCTGGGGAAAATGCCGATACGGCTGCAGTCAACCAATCAGAGGCCAGTTGCGAGCGAGACGCGAGCAGCGAGTCTCGATTCGCAAGTCATTGCTACTAGGTATGAGAAGTTATGAAACTGTAAGTACTAATTTCCTCCGCCTACATTATTTCAGCAAAATAAAGTAGAGCGTTAAAACGCGTACCAATATAACAGCGCGTCCTTCGGACTGGAGGCAGTTGAATTTTGTTTATAAAAACATTGCAAGTCAGAGTAAAGCAGGCCCGCTTTTTTTGAGGTGACGCTGATATGCTTGCTGAAAGACTGGTAGGGAATGCAGTGCTGTGAGTAACTACAGGAGAGGGTCGAGGGAGGTGCCGGCATCGAGAAAGATGGAGAGGGAAGCGAATGTTACGGCGAATTACGGGGAGGGGATCAGCGTCACAGATAGGGAAGGGCACCGGCCATTTTCGCTGACACGCAGTTACGCCACTATACGTGGGTTTATGTCCGAGGTCAGACTAGCCCCTAAGAGGGAATGACAAGGCAGGCGGAACTAATGGCAACAGCGAGCACCAGGCAACGACATTCAAATGAGCGACGACGGGAAAAGAAGTGAGTAGCTCGAAAAGCGTTTATTCTCGTCTTGGTCACAACTTTAAGTCAAGCGCGCCTTTTTTCCTCCAGCCCGTTCAAAGCCTCCGACTCGTCGGTGTCGGTCGGGCCAGCTAGGACATTCACTGGCTGTCTGCCTACAAGGAAAGAATGAAACTATTTATAAACATTCGGTAAAATCTTATTGCGTCACACTGCCTCCCCTCCAAGAAGACACTGTCCGCAGTGTTTCTAGCCTACTATCCCTGAGAGTTCGATGCAGATATTTCAACCGTCTGCGCTACCGGAGGAAGGGAACCGGAGGGGACAAGTGAGAGAGGGGAATCGGGAGGTGGTCCGCAATCGGGCGCTGGCTTGATCTGATTGTAGTGGACGGTGAGAACATCGGCGAAAGGTCTCTGTGGGTCGCGAAGAACAAACGTGTCGTGGGCGGGTTGGTAAACGATAATATACGGGCCTTGCCACGGCCAGTGAAACTTTGCAGCAGCCCCGAGGGGCGGTCGCGGTCTGAACAATAACACGGAATCGCCAACTTGATATTCTGGCCCAGCTCGGTGTCGGTCGTAGCAAGTTTTCTGATGCTGTTGGGCCATTTGGATGTTGCCAGCAGCCAGCCTGTATACCGTGACAAGTCTTTCCTTGAGAGCTCGTGTGTATTCCCCCACACTAAGGGGCTCGGCGGGTATAAGTGGCGAGTGAATATCTGCCGGTAATCGAAGCTGGCATCAGTGTCGAGAATAAACTCACCGGCAGATAGAGAAACATCCGGAAGGCTGAAGATCGGAGGGGATGTCAAAGCACGTTTAAGCTGATCGAAAGCTGCCTCATACTCTTTAGTCCACAGGAAAGGTCTAAACTTTTCGGTCAACCGGTGAAGGGATGCGGCGATGCCAGCGAACCCACGAACAAATTTCCTGTAGTAGGACGCAAGACCGAGAAAACTACGGACTTCCTGACTCGTCTTGGGTGTCGGCCATTCACATATGTGGGATATCTTGTCTGGATTTGGGTGTATACCCGAGGGCGACAGGATGTACCCAAGAAACAGGGTCTCGTTCTGCAGAAGTTTACATTTATCTGTCCGTAGCAAAAGACCCGCATCGGCGACTTTAACTGAAAGCAAAATTGGCACGCAGTGCAGTAGGACACCACGTCCTGATGGATAGTCGGCCACCAAAAGCGTCTGCGAACGACTGCTTCTGTTTTGCGTTGACCCGCGTGTCCGAGTTGATTATGAATGTTACCTATGGTATCTCGTACCTTCGCCTACGGCATAACGAGTCGCAGTGGCTCATTAGCGTCACTATGTCGGAACAAAACTCCGTAACCAAACGTGACTCCCGCTGCCCCACATCGATGACAACATTGATGCTCTGTCAGGAGCTGCGTGGTTCTCTACCTTAGATCTCGCATCTGGTTATTGGCAGGTTGAAGTTCACCCAGCTTACCGGGCGAAAACGGCCTTTGTGGTACCCTCTGGCCTCTATGAGTTCAATATGATGCCTATTGGCCTGGCGAATGCTCCGGCCACATTTCAACGGCTTATGACAACTGTGCTCGTGACATAACCCCGACGGCCTGTTTGATTTACGTTGGCGATATTATAGTTCACGGAGAGACGGTTGAGGAGCATAATGCACACCTCCGGGAGGTTTTATTGCGACTGAGAGATGCGGGTCTTCTGCTACGGACAGATAAGTGCAAACTTCTGCAGAACCAGACCCTGCTTCTTGGGTACATCCTGTCGCCCTCGGGTATACACCCAGATCCAGACAAGATATCCCACATATGTGAATGGCCGACACCCAAGACGAGTCAGGAAGTCCGTAGTTTTCTCGGTCTTGCGTCCTACTACAGGAAATTTGTTCGTGGGTTCGCTGGCATCGCCGCATCCCTTCACCGGCTGACCGAAAAGTTTAGACCTTTCCTGTGGACTAAAGAGTATGAGGCAGCTTTCGATCAGCTTAAACGTGCTTTGACATCCCCTCCGATCTTCAGCCTTCCGGATGTTTCTCTATCTGCCGGTGAGTTTATTCTCGACACTGATGCCAGCTTCGATTACCGGCAGATATTCACTCGCCACTTATACCCGCCGAGCCCCTTAGTGTGGGGGAATACACACGAGCTCTCAAGGAAAGACTTGTCACGGTATACAGGCTGGGTGCTGGCAACATCCAAATGGCCCAACAGCATTAGAAAACTTGCTACGACCGACACCGAGCTGGGCCAGAATATCATGTTGGCGATTCCTTGTTACTGTTCAGACCGCGACCGCCCCTCGGGGCTGCTACAAAGTTTCACCGGCCGTGGCAAGGCTCGTATATTATCGTTTGCCAACCCTTCCCCGACACGTTTGTTCTTCGCGACCCACAGAGACCTTTCGCCGATGTTCTCACCGTCCACTACAATCAGATCAAGCCAGCGCCCGATTGCGGACCACCTCCCCCTGATAGCATTTTGGAGCGCGAAGCTAGCAGTTTATTGGCTTTTTTGGATTTGCGAGCGTGTTCAAACGCTAGTAATCTAGTTGGCTTACGCAGCGTAGCCTGCACGAGAAAATGAGCCAGGGGGGTGGGGGTAGCGTTCGCGCGCAACCCTGCCCGCCTGCGCGAATTTTACTCCCCTTCTCGAGTCGGGTGTTGGCGTCAGTGTCAGGGGGGTGGGGGGTAGCTTTCGCGCGCGCACCCCTGCACGCCTGCGCGCATTTTACTCCCCTTCTCGAGCAGGAACATAGGTATCGATTGCTTGCTTTGCCTCAAATGGACGGCTGGCCAGTTTCGTCCCACAACCCCGCCGTCACGCTAGCATGCCAACGCGAG